CCCAAGTCTTTAAATATCTGCGAAAAATAAGATTTATTTTTGGGAAATTAGAAATGAGATTTGTAAATTGTATTGATCAAATGCGAGTTCATATTTTTTTGTGGTGATGAAACCGTACACCAGATTTCTTAAACAAATGGAAAATATTCTACTTATCATTTAATATAAGTCAGGGGTTTATTTTGTCATTGCTAAATTTATCATAGTTTGACATTATTTTTTGGTAATTTCCGTGAGCAAGTCAGCATAAATGCTGGTTCTAATTGGTCCATTTGTTGAACAAGAATATAACCGAGATGACGTTGAGTTGGGATCTAAATATAAAAAAAACGTTCTCTCTCAAACTAATATGTCCTCATGCAGATACAGTATTACTAGTACTGGTTCTGTATGTTTATTTATTCCTTATACAACTTAATCAGTGGTAAGGTGGGCTTATACGAGATACTATGTGATCCAAACATTTTCCGGGGCATTAGATGATGAAAAAGCTGAACCCTCTAACGCTCTGCACTTTGAAATTGAATTTTAGTATGACGATTGCAGCTCTTAGGCCAATGACTGACTAAAATACTGGATATAAAGAATTAAATTATGCAGCAAACCTTTGAAACCGGTCTTACTTCACCCCTTCGATTAGGGTTTGTTTACTTGCTCAAAATTCTCTTCAAACCTTTAAGGCCAGTATCCCAGACATAAAATTATTTACGTTGATTTGTGTGATCGTTACGTTACTGTGGTTGATGAACCTATTGGGACTGTTCAAGGACTTTGCTCTTCTGTAGTCAACGGTATGTTTAGGTGATCGTAATTAAGCGTTTTTCTTCTTCGCATAAAATTAAACCTGCTGACACATTTTGCTGTAGATCACAGATAAACTCAAATTATTTTGGTCGCAGGTGGAGTACATACAGTGCTCTTGTACTGTGGGCCCCTATGAGTTGGTGTCGGTATGGGTATGTAGGACGTACAAGGTTAGTGACTAGCAGTTCCCGATACACGCTGATTGTTCAGTTCCACATCTGTTCTAGTTTTCTTCCACTAACAATCCCTGGCCTAATGAAAATGATGTTACTGTACGTGAAAATGCAGAAATACAATCCGGGACCTTAATTTTGTCTGGACACTTAAATGGGTATTTCTGAGCAGCAAAGTGGTAGTGCTAGCCTTCAAATCTAGATGTCGCTGGTTATAATTCAATCAAGCAAGATCGTAACTGAACCCAGACGCGATTACAAATAAAGCGATTGTAGTCATTGAGGTATCAATAATTAATGATTCTACCTAACAGAATGTGTTGACGTCCGGTAACTAGTAGAGGACTAGGGTTTGGACCTTTCCCGTGTAAAATAAACTTGAATGCCACAGGCGTAGATAAAACAAATGTAATTAAAATTAAATATGTGTGGAAAATAGTATTAAACTATCGAAATGTGGAAAAATAAATGTGAAGAGGGCTTTAAACGGAAACACTGTACCGTAGCTTTTCTTCTGCTGCTAATTACACAAGTCATACTAGACCTATCTAAATATTTGGCCGTCCACACTTAAGCCGAGAGGATTTTAGGAAAATTAAGAAATCCATGTGTTGGCTGAGTCAATGATCTAGGAGATTTGTAAAAAGTTTCAGCTCGGACATTTCAGTAGTTTGCGTTTTAGGAACAAACACGCACTCCAGAATCCACCTATTTACATAGATTCCCCGAGTAATCACCACAAATTATTCATCGTGTCAACAAGTTGCCAGCGTGTAGATGCCCGGTACAGGTCAGGAATGCCCGTCTGCCCACTCGCTGACCAGCTACCGGTCTCCTGTAGTGCCCGCGGCTGTTGCCCGGCGATGGACGCAGATACCTAGCCTGTGACAGGCCAAGCCCACGGATGCAAAATTGCCGAGGTAACTACGGACAAGTGTGGAATGTGCACGAACACACGACAAGGACTTGAAAACTGTTTGAGAACACAGAATGTTGTAAAACTATTTCTCATTTGCAACGGGACAATGGTTGTACAAATCTAGTGAGACAGTTACACACCCAAAATCGATTGTATAGAAGCAACTCAAACCTTTGGTTATGTTCATTATGTCTAACTAGTGCTATCACTTATTTATAAAACTCTCATAGATTTATTTCAATCAGTTGTTTGACATAATAAGAAACTTACGCGCTATTTGCAACGGGAGAGGACACATGGTTGTACAAATCTAGTGAAATAGTTATAGGTATACCCCCACAATCGATTGAAGAAACTTCTCAAACCATATATTAAATATGTTTTTGGTTATGTTCATTATGTCTAACGAGTGCTGTCACTTTTTTATAAAACTCTCGTAGATTTATATTAATCAGTTGTTTGACAAAATATAATAAGAAACGCGAAACATAAACAAATATGTAAACATACGGTAGTGGTTTTGTGGTGTCATGACGTTAACATTTAGTCTACAGTTTGCAGAAAGAATCCTTCTTTTAACAGCTAAATAGCTTTTGAAAGATTAGTTACGTTAGAAGTAAAACTTAAATGCAACAAATGTCTCTAAAAAAATTGCATTTTCATTAAAAAAATTAATTCGCGAATGAGTTAAGGCTAGATTTTAAAAGACAAGGGTCTTCTCAGACATTTATTAAATAGAGGGAAAAAAAGTTGTTTAATCCTGATCAAAGTTATTGTTTTTCGTAAATTGCCATCTTTGGCCTCAACAGCAGACAGATTGAAACTCGCTGCTTATTTGCTCTGTTTGGATATGAAACCGAAACGTAGACAAGGCCAAAAAAATCATGATTGTGTGTAGTGTATGAATACAATTATGTTTTACTGTATAAATATATGTATTAATAAACCTTTGGAACCAGAATCCCTAATTTATATTGATTATCAAGTGATTCTGAATTAAATTCACCACCACGCCGATTAACGTATACACGCACGTCTGGAGATGGTGGAACAAAAACAGCTGTCTGAAGTCTGCTTCCTTCCTACAATTGAAGAAACCCGGATATGGAATGAGACTATGACGTCAATGACATATGGTTTGAATTAGAGGATACAAATTACGATTCCTTAAACGTAAAATACGGACCCCTCAATTAATAAATTATACTAAGCATTGATCCAAAATAGTGTCACTATGCTAATTCACAATGTAATCGTTATTTTTATTCTAGTAGGTCTATTATTGTTTAAACGTTAGTAGCACTAACACGAAAACATAAGTTTCTCCTGAATAAGAACATTATTTAAAATTCTTAATACTGTAATATGAAGCAATTTTGACTCGAAGTAACTTCGGCAAATGCAGTATTTGGGCCGAATTAACAAATCTGTGTTTGCGATGAATAATCCATTTATATGATGAGTTTGCATCATTCGCGAGTGCAGAGTAGAATTTACTTTGGGAATGAATGAAGGAATGAGGCATACCGATACATGATATGTTTAATTTTACTTTCTCTTCCTATGAAGAAAATATTCTTTTCGAAAAAATTTCGGACGGTAAAATGACATCCTCCAATAAATGCAAAAATAGGGAAATTCGCTTAAACAAAAAACACTTAAGAGGTTTGGATGGACATATCCGTTATAGGCTCTCCTAACCCTCAAGTGGTTTTTAAAATGGTGTCTGTGTATTGTAAGTGTAGGCCTGTATCTACAGACTAGACTACATCTGTAGTCGGATTTCGATGAAATTTGTTACGCGCGGGTACTAGTATCTCATGGTATCTCCAGGCGTGTGTAATTGTTTTTAAGTAGATTTGTCATAAAGCAAAAAAATAAAAGAAAATAAGATAAAAAAAATAGTTTTTACCAGCAATTTTGACTGAAATACGAAACAACCCCAAACACTGTAACAGTTACGGTTAAAAAATTACTGCAGTTTTCATGATTTACACACTTTAAATCTTAAGCTATCCCCTCCTATTACCCAGTACAATTGTTTGATTTTTATCTCGTGAGTAGTAGGATGTTAAATGTAATGTCAAGCGAATGGGAGAAAGTATATATGTGTCAGTTTGCTAACGCCGTTTATATAAATACAGTAGGGACGAACGACGGATCCGATCCAATCAAAGTATAATCATAAATATAAAGTATAAGTATAAAGTATTAGTTGTCGAGCACAACTATATACAGTACTAGCAATTAAAGTCTACAAACCTCAAAACACCGTAAATTGTTATTATTTTCGAAATCAATCGTCTGAACATATCAATTGAAACTTAGACAAAAATCAACAAGATCTACGGCACAGATAACCTTGTTTGAAATTATCGATGTTGGGATGATTCAGATCGAGGGACGACGGGCCTTCAATACTTTCCTTGTTTGGGTCGATTCTTAGAATTGTTTTAATGATGTTTTTGTGATTTTTCGTGTGCTTATTCATACATAGTAAATGTTATGATTGTAAAATACTTAGAGTAGGATATGATGTATACTTTATATGGAAGTTTGTATTTTTGACATATTTGTATGCTGAATACTAATACATCCTAATCGATTCGTGAAACGCGCAAAATAAACAATTTAATTGATAGAGTAATGGTGACAAACCCCTTGGGAAGGAGTTTAATGGATTTGCTATTTAAATTTTTTATTATTGTATTACTATCATCATACATTTTTTAATTTAATTACGCAAAAGTTAATTGTAAGCTCTACAGAAACATTATCTTAACACGACATAAACTGAAGTCAACTAAATTAATTATAAAGCCTTTCATTACAAGTGAAATGGGCATGAACAATTTATAACATTCAAGATAACTTATTGCAAGCATAAATTTGCCAGTTTTTGTCACATTGGTTGTAGTTTAGTAATAGTTTACTAACGACAAGTTATTACTGCAACGATAATGCGACTACACAAATATCACTTAGCCAAACAAGTCTAAACTGATAAAACTCTATTATTTAATTGCTCCAATTAAAGGATAATGCGCCTGAACATGTCAATCACCTCTGGAGAACGCTGAACTGTTAATTATTTACTCGCTTACCTTGAGATTCCAAAGACAGGTTGAAAGGGCTGATGTTTTCAAGTGAAGTACTGGAGCGATAGAATGTCTGAGGGCATTTATTTACCCACGTGAACTATAGTCACACACTTAACCTAGAAATGAACTGAGAGGACGAACCAGAACCAGCTGATGAGGTGAGGTGAGAATCGTGCAACTGCAACTGAACTGAAACTGACAGACGATGGGCATGGGAGGGAGATGGGAGCTGGAGCGAAGATGGGGGAGATGACTGGAACTGGAGGGAGGGGAACAACGGTTATGGAACACACGCCGCACTATCTAGCGGAGAACTACAGTACTCAGATCCCAATGGTGCTCAACTCTGGTGGCAGTAAATTGTACTAGGTCGGTAAAGAAGATTGTTTTAGTTTTGTAAAGTGGATGCAATTTTAAGATCTGCATCCCCTCTACAAACGTTTAGTTGTTAGAGGATAGACAACAAGCCATATTTTTCAAGGTGTGTAACTCCTAAATGAGTATGGGAAGTTAAAAAGGATAACGTATAAATGGTTTGAATTGCATTTTAATTCTAAAACAATCATAAAATACAAGGTGTTCAATAAAAAAATTATGAAGAAGTGGAGTTCTGAAAGATTTCATAACAAATGGCCCAAGTTCTACTTTTGATGTTTTCTCTAAAAATTTTAGTCTTTGATATACCAATGGTGCACAGTTGTTCACCCTGTGTGAATTTAAGAGTCCTTGGACCCTAGACGTCTTAACTCGTAAAACAATTAAAGAACTGCAAAGACAATTACTAATCCCGCAGTACTAGATATTTATATTAAAATCACTCTGGTGCTTGAAAATATTTTGAGATGGGAAATACTCTTCAGCGGCTATTTGAAATTAACATTGCTCTTATGATAGCTTCCACGGACTCCCTTGGAGAACAATTCAAAACTACAACAGTACAAAGAACATTTCCAATCTCTAGTATCCTGAATAGATATTTAAATTATAATCATTGATGTTTGAAAAAATATTTTTGGGCGATAAATAAATAATAACCCTTCAGCAGCTGTTAGAAATTGGCCAGGATGGCTGCTAGCCTACAAGGACTCTTGACATTAAAACTAGTTTTCAAAGGCAAATACTATATGGGTAATTCACGTTTAACTTTATGGGAACACTAATTGAGCGGAGCTAGCAAATATTTGGATACTGCAAGTAGAAAACTAATTTATGAGAACCAGATGAAACATTCAAGTAGACAACCAAATACAGGGAGCGGCAAAATGATCTGACGGTTTTCTTTGCCGCCCTGTCGACGGAGTGAGTGGTAGAGGGTGGTGGGAATTAAGCAGACATTTTTAGTAGCCATGTAGCTGGTGGTCTGTTGAGCACCATGTATAAAGTGGAAATGTTTTAAAAGTAGCAATTGACATGTAGCTATTCAGTAGATGTTACAATGTGGGTAAAAGAAGAAAAGTCCAAACTCAAAACACCATTTTGCTGTGGGTGGGTATCTTTTGTTCAGCATTGAAACTAAAATCAACAGGACATCCAAGGTAAGCCCAGATGCTAGAGAACGTCAAGAGAGAGAGGAAGACTGTGTGGTGTGGTTGAAAGTGCAATTACTCGCTCATAATGACAATTTTGTCACTGTAAGCTTATCACTGAAAGTGAGATCCGCACAACTGGGTTTCAACTGTTGCACAGTTATCGTAATACTCTTATACCGAAAGGCCAGACATGTGCAGAGCTGCAGCTTATTTACAAGCAGGCCGCTGAGGACTAGCTTCCACACACAGCTTCTCTCACTCTCGAGCTTATCAACCTTCTCTGGCATACGGGCTGACCTTGGACGGCCTGTTGACTTTTTTCAATGCTGAACTAGTAGCTCTGAAGTTACCCACCCACAGAAAAATGGTGTTTAGAGTTCAGACTTTTCTGCTTGGCGCTTGGACCCACATTGAAACGTCTACAGAAATGCCACTGAACACAGGAATAGCCCACTTATAAAAAAAAATCACTTCCACTACAAAAGAATGTTGCTTGATGGGTGTCCACAGCTCCATGGCTACTAAAAATGTCCGCAAGTAGGCTTTGTAATGCCCCTATTCTCATTCTCAACACCCTCCACCACTTACTCGCTCGACAGAAAATAGTCAGATCATTTTGCCGCTCTCTGTATAAGTATGTGAACCAAATATACCATTAACTATGGATGCTGCAAGTAGATTTATCATTTATGTGAAGCAGATGTACCATTGACTTTGTAAACTGCAAGTAGAGATCTCATTTACGAGAAACTCATGAAGCATTGACTTTGGATACTTTAAGGAGGCATCTCATTTACGTTAAACAACTGTAGCATTCACTTTGGAAAAGTATTGTATGAATATGCTAGCTCCATTCAATTTTGCAAGCAGGCGACTGCATTGTACACCTAGTACAGTATAAGTATTGATTCTAAAAGATAAGTTAGATGCGCAAACTTAACTGCCCTTTGATCTTTTATCAACCATCATCAAGTTATAGATATTTTTTATTTACTATGTAGCAACCAAACCCCCCAAAAAGTTAAGGTTTTTTTGGAAATACTTAGTTGGTGAAACAGAGTATTTGCAAAAATAAAATAACATTGTTATTGCTTGTTTAAAATTAGGTGGAATAAACCCATTAAAATATTGATGTGAACAAATAATACTTGATGATATAGGCCTAGTAATATTGGCCAACTCAACAGTATTAATTATTTATGATTTTGAAATAATACCCAAGTAAATGTGAACTTATAAACAAACATATTTCCTAAAAACAAACAACGCTAAATTATCTGGGACAAACTTTAATTTGTAAAGGGCACTAATATAAAAAAGTGAAACATGTATACACATAGTGGTTAGTGTGATTAGTATCTAATATAGATAGAAGATTTAACAGAAAAAATAAAACCAGTTTTTTGTGAAAAGACATGTTTAATAAGACAATTTTGTTGAGAAAAACGAACAAAATATCACCTCAAACACTAACCACGTTTACAAAACATGATATAAAATCATTAGTTTAAACATTTTCCATGAAAATCTTTACAAAAAATATGAACACTAAACATTTTAGGATACAATTTACAGACAACATTGCAAGACAACTCGAATAAATACTGATTTTGACAAAATTATAACAATCCAGAAATAAATTATTTTGTATTAAAAAACATAAACAATATGGTCTCGAAGATGAAGATCATATAATAAATATGTCAAAAGTGTTGAACACAATTTAAAGCTTTCATTCAACCCTTTAAATCAATATCAAATAATTTATATGCCTTTACACTTAAATACTTTAGGCCAATTTATTCTTAAATAATAAAACTTATTAATATATGTTACAAATCATGTTAACAAAATTAAATCCTATTTTAAAATCTTTGATAAAATAAACACTCACACACAATATATTATGTATTTAACAAATTTACATAAACAATAAATTTGTGAAGAATATTGCATCAACATATACAAAAGTCATTTCATACAGTCCTATTATAAATTATGTATAGGGTACTTTAAAATTTATATGGCTCGTCACAATAATGTATAAAACACGTTCGCGTAAATGTAAATGCCTGCGCTAGAAATAATAAAAACAATCGAAATATTGTCTAACGAATAAAAAAAATTTACAACAAAAATAACATAAAGACAAAACAAAAACAAAACAAATTATGATACAACAGTAGTAGGTTTTTTCACGGTCATGAGGCAGGAAAGAATAGGTCCTGTAACCTTTTCACTGTACTTTTGTCCAGGGCACAGAGATCAAAGTCAAAAGTCTTTTTGGTAATTTCATACTGTCCCGTTTCAGCAATCACTTGGACCACCCTTTGCAGTTCAGCATTGTCCTCTAATGTCATTATCTTCTGCTGGAGATCCTTCAGTTCCATCACATATTCTTCTGTAAACTTAGTGGGTGGAGTAGGAGATCTAGACCTGGACACTTCCTGCTCCTCTCGCGGAGGTGACTCCGAGAGTCTGTCCTCTACATCCTCTTCTACAGTCTCCTCTCTCACCGGTTTGTGTTCCTCTTCTGGTTTCAATTTGGCTATCTTCTCTGGAACCACTTCTTCTTTTTCCTTACTCTTCCGCTTCTTCTTTTTGATCCCATCCTCGTCTTTAGACGAACTCTTCTTATCCTTTTTCTTCATTTTGTCTTTATGAGGTTTGTCTTCCTTGACTCGCTCAGGTGTCCTGGAGATGGGAGGGGTAGGTGCAGGGGGAGGAGGGGAGGGAGGTGTCATTTTCATCTTGTCAACACTTGCAGTGTCTTCGTCAGCAGAAGATTCAGAGTCTGAGCCTTTGTCAGATGAGTTGAGTTCTGACATGAGAGTGCCCAGAGGATTTGAGTTTTTGCTCATCTTAGGACTAGGGGATCTCGGCCTTACTTTGGCCGGAGGGGGTTGAGGAGGTGGCGAGGGATCCTTAGGAACTGGAACGGCAGGTTGAAACTTTTCTACTTTCTTAGCAGATTTTTCTTTCTCTTTCAACTCTTTGTCTTCCTTTTTGTTTTTCTCTTTTTTCTTATGCTTGTGCCGCTGTTTTTCAACAGTTTCAGTCTTCTCTTTATCAATTTTTTCTTTGACCTTTTCCTCCTTGCTGTGTTTGGGTGACTTCTTAATATTTTCCTTAAGTTCTTTAAAGTCAGGTTTAATTTTCTCAAACTTTTCAACAACTTTCTCTTTCTCTCTTTCAACAGGAGGTTGAGGAACTGGCGGTGCTGGTGTTGGGATTTTGCTTTCAGATTCTTTATGCCTGTCTTTTTTATCTTTTTCGTCTCGGCTCTTCTTATCCTTTTTCTTTTCTTTCTTCTCACTCTTGCTGATATCACTGGACGATGACTTCATTTTCTCCTTCTCTTTAGCCTCATCAAAGCTGGACTTCTTCAGCTCCTCCTTGAGCGTTTTGGCAGGAGGAGGAGCCACAGAAGGAGAAGGTGGCCGCTTCAATGACTTTTCAGGTTTTTTCTCTTTGTCTGGTCTTCTTTCTCTGTCTTTTTCTTTGTTTGAGCTTGGGATCATAGTTTCTTTCTTGCTGCTTTCTTTTTCTTTCTCTTTGTGAGGACTGTGTTTTGAAGATTTAGATGACAACTAAAATATAAAACAAAATTATTAGAGAGTGAATAAATCAGTTTTACACGTTTGCTACCGCAATAGTACTAAATTTTTCATTCATATGAACCAGCGATGCACATACGCGATGGCCGGTTTCCGACCATAGACTGCCATTGCATATTTGCGTCGGTGTTCTAATGTTATTAAAAAGCATACATCTTCGTAACAGTCTATTTGAAGGCCCTGAATTATCTGCAGTTGTCTACAGGAATGTCTGTCGCATATGTGTGTCACTTGATCTGTGGATATGATGATTAGTGACATCATATGATAGTTGTCAAAACTGTTTTTACTTTGATGCATCACTGCCCTGTGGTCTGCGTTTACTGTTAACCAAGTGACACCCAGTCTATGAGAAATATTAAAATGTATACCTCAGGCCGTGGCAATGACAGCAGCATCGCAAATATGTGGCAATCGGTAGCGAACGTGATAAATTACATTTACTGAGCCTCCACAAACCAAAACACTATTAACCTTAATGTAACACTAACCAAAACAGCCAAGAAAATAAAAAAAAGACTGAAATAACGACTCAGACAAAGGAAGAGCAAGAGAAGTGACCGACTGATGAAGGGTGGCAATGGTTCGGGATTAAAGTCATTGACTGCTACACAATGCAAACTACAAATACAACTCCCTACTCTTTGATTTACAATATCTGACTGTGATTTTGAAAATGTGACTGCTAGACGTAAACAGACATCAGCTCACGTGTTTCTAATGAATTTAAGGCAAGATAATATTTCTAGAAAACATAGCCCACTAAAATAAAAAAGGAATAATTAATCTACATCTACAAATATATTTTTATCTAAGGTTATTAGGCCTTAGTTTTAATTAGGGATGGACGGGTCCCGAAATTTCGGGAATTTTTCGGGTAAAAAATATTCCCGATTATCGGGACGGGATTACATTTGACTCGGGAATTTTTCGGGACGGGATTTGGTCCGATCGTCGGCGATTTTTCCGCTTCGCGAGTGCCGATAACGCCGTTATTGCGAGCGATAGGTCCGCGAACGCAGGAGACGAAGTCATTTCGACGATTACGCCGTGACCGCGGAGTCATAACGACGATCGCGCCGTGACCCCGAAGTCCTACCGACGATCGCGCTGTGACCACGAGTCATACCGACGATCACGCCGTGACCGCGAGTCATACCGACAATCGCGCCGTGACCGCGGAGTCCTACCGACGATCGCGCCGTTACCGCGGAGTCATACTGACGATCATGCCGTGATGGTGAATCATACCGACGATCACGACGTGACCGCGGAGTCATACCGACGATCGCGCCGTGACCGCAAGTCATACCGACGATCGCGCCGTGACCGCGAGTAATACCGACGATTGCGCCGTGACCGCGAGTCATGACGACGATCGTGCCGTGACCGTGGAGTCATACCGACGATAACCCCGTGACCGCGAGTCATGACGACGATCGCGCCGTGACCGTGGAGTCATGACGACGATCGCGCCGTAACCGCGAGTCATGCTGACGATCGCGCCGTGACCGCGAGTCATACCGACGATCGCGCCGTGACCGTGGAGTCATACCGACGATATCCCCGTGACCGCGGAGTCATACCGACGATTGCGCCGTGACCGCGAGTCATACCGACGATCGCGCCAGGACCGCGAGTCATGACGACGATCGCGCCGTGTTCGTGAGTCATACAGACGATCACCCCGTGACCCGCGAGTCACAAGTTTCTATAGGTACCTGTAAATTGTTGCCCATTTTTTTGTTTTTAGGGTGAAAGGGTGGTGGGTATTTTCCTTGACCTCTCCCGTGCTTTTGACAGTGTGGCACACCCTGTTTTAATTGAAAGATTAAAATCACTGGGTATTCAAGGAAAATAGTGTGCTTGGTTTTCCTCTTATTTATGTAATAGGCATCAGTTTGTTGAAATGAAATATCTAGATTATGGTAATTATTGTAATTATTTAAGAAGCTATGTCTGTGAAGCTCAGGTGATTAAGTATGGAGTACCTCAGGGATCCATCCTGGGTCCATTACTTTTTTTGTGTTACCTGGATGGTCTGCCTAAGAGTACCAGCTTTAGTTCGATGTCACTATATGCAGATGATGCTAATTTAATTGTTAAAGGAAATTCCAGTTCTGATATTGAGCTCTCAGCCAATTTGGACTTAATGAGTATTCAAAATTTTTTAAATCAAAATAACCTTCTATTAAATACAAGCAAATCAATGATAGTAAGTTTCTCCACAAAACAAAATAAAATAGCTCTGGATCCAAAAATCAAAGTTGGCAATAACATAATAAATAAAGCAAATCAGACAAAATTTTTAGGACTTTTCATTGATCGACATCTATCTTGGAATGATCATGTTGATAATGTAGTGAAAAAGATGTCATCAGGAATATATGCACTGTGGCAAATGTCAAAAATATCTGACCTTACAGTGCTAAAAACAATATATTATTCTTTAATACACTCTCATCTGGCATACGGAATTTGTATATATGGAGCTACCTCAATATATAATTTGGAAAAAATTCTGATAAAACAAAAAAAAGCAATACGAATAATGTTAGGTTTAAATAGCACAGAGAGTGTCGAAAACTTATTTAAAGATCTTAAAATTTTGACAGTTTACAGTCTTTATGTCTTAGAAACAATAAAGTATGTCAAAGAACATGAAAGTGATATATTTTTTGAATCCAAGCATCATTATAATACCCGAAATAAAATGATTTTTGATAAACATAATCTGCATTTTTATAAAAACAAAACTAAATATATGGGCACCAAATTTTTTACTCAGTTGCCAAATTTAATTAGAAATGAGCAAAATTACAATAAATTTAAAAAATTGCTGAATGAATATCTTGTTAATAAAGCTCTCTATTCTTTTTCGGAGTTTCCTTAAGTGAGGGCTCCACTACTGGTTGCCTGGGTTTTATATATAGTTTTAAATATATTGTATTTTAGCTATATAACATGAAAGTATGGGATTTTTAGTTATATGTGACTCTATTCTGATGCTGCAATGTATTCATACGAATAAAGTTTATTTTGACTTTGACTTTATAGATCAGTGCCACAAATGGTAAAAATTGATTTCATATGTCTTTTTTGGTAACTGCAATACAGTACTTTCTTTTTATGCACAAAAAAAAATCCCGTCTCGTCCCGTCCCGAAAATCGGGAAGGAAATAAAAATCCCGTCCCGTCCCGAACTAAAAATTCAATCCCGTCCATCCCTAGTTTTAATCACAAATTTTGTAGAGGTAACGTTAACATGCTCTAGTTACCTTATTAATTCTTCTTATCACTTTAAATGCTGAAAAAGCCTTCCTTTTTGACAGAAATTTATATGGTCATCCGAAACGAGCTCGCTCCTTTATTTCCGTTTAGAGAGGTTCTACAGTATCAGTAAAGTGTTCTTTAATAATAATGTAGAACCTCATATGGCTTTTATGTTGAAAGCCAAACACAGTTTGGTAGAACTCAAACAAATTGAGTGAAATACAGAGGTGTAAAATTAAAAATATTGAACCCCTTGAAAACAAAATGTTAGAATTGGAGGGGTGTAATGGCATAGCCTTAACACCCAAAGTCAGCCTACTAACTTGGGACTGACACAAAATTAATTGTTTTTCATTAATACCTTACGATCAATTAAGTTTAGTAAAGTTAAGGCACTATTTGAGTATAATTTGTATATAGAAAGAATAAAGATGATTTCCAATGATGTGAGTCGGTAGCGAAAGTTGTGGTTTCACCCACTAATGCCACCAACTGATGGGATTTACTTGGCCGATTTATCTGTTGTTCAGTTCTATTCTTACATTTAGCTTGACTTAATTTACATTAAAGTCATACCAAATATAAATCAAAATCTTACTTTAGAATCTGATGAATGTTTGGATTCAGTTTTTTTGGAAGCAGTGGTAGGCGAGAGCTTAGCAGTCTTGATGGGTGTGCCGAACAAATCAGCAAACTGGTTGCTCGACCTTAAATCTTCAGGCTTCACTGAATCCTGCAAAAGAATCAAATGAGATACCCAGCTTGTCTTGAAATGGAAAAAGCTTTAATGTGTTTACCTACAACCGTTTTCAAAATAGCTTTTTCAATTCAGTTCTTAGAATTGAAAAGACTCATTTTACAGTAATGTTTACTAACTTAAGCATTGTTTTGCTACTTAACAGTACAAGTTTGGACCAAAAAGGTTCAAGGATTGAGAGAAAGGAAGTAAAATTGTAATGCTTCGAACATTAACTAATCAGCTGTTAGGGCCAATTTAGGCCTAATCTTCTTATCTATAAGTATAAAAGAGGATGTTTGTATATATATTTGTTTGTTTGTTTGGCAGTGATAAACTCAGACACCGCTGAACCGATTGCCACGAAACTTGGTACATACGTGTAGAATGTCATGGAATAGGTTTATACACCATCAATTTCGTGATCCGTCCAATCGGCTCCGCCCCAGTGGCTCTGGGGTTTCCCATGTTAACCTTGTGAGAAATGGAATTAATGAATCTTAACAGCTGTTTCAATTAAAAAAGTTGGTTCTGTTCTATGATGTTCAAAAGCATTAAAGTTACAAGGATTACCAACAGGGTGCAGCACTATTATTTATTTTACATTTATGACAACAGCTAATTTGCAACCAAAAGGTGAGTGAGCGTAGTGAACGAACTTCAACCTGGAGGCGAGTTAGCGTAGCGAACGAGCTAACCTGAAGGCAAGTGAGCGCAGCGAACGAGCTCCAACCTAAAGGTGAGTGAGCGTAGCGAACGAGCTCCAACCTAAAGGTGAGTGAGCGTAGCGAACAAACTTCAACCAGGACGTGATTGAGCCATGCAAACGAGATCATCTTGAAAATTAAGAAGTTAAACGGTGCAAAGCCCGCGGGATTATAAATAGTCAAAGGCAAGACAACGTCTGCCGGGTTCAGCTAGTATAAGTATAAAAGAGGATATTTGTATATATATATTTGTTTGTTTGTTTGGCAGTGATAAACTCAGACACCGCTGAACCGATTGCCACGAAACTTGGTACATACGTGTAGAATGTCATGGAATAGGTTTATACACCATCAATTTCGTGATCCGTCCAATCGGCTCCACCCCAGTGGCTCTGGAGTTTCCCATGTTAACCTTATGAGAAATGGAATTAATGAATCTTAACAGCTGTTTCAATTAAACAAGTTGGTTCTGTTCTATGATGTGCAATAGCATTAAAGTTACAAGGATTACCAACAGGGTGCAGCACTATTATTTCTTTTACATTTATGACAACAGCTAATTTGCAACCATAAGGTGAGTGAGCGTAGCGAACAAACTTCAACCTGGAGGCGAGTTAGCGTAGCGAACGAGCTAACCTGAAGGCAAGTGAGCGCAGCGAACGAGCTCCAACCTAAAGGTGAGTGAGCGTAGCGAACAAGCTCCAACCTAAAGGTGAGTGAGCGTAGCAAACGAACTTCAACCGGGACGTGATTGAGCCATGCGAACGAGATCATCTTGAAAATTAAGAAGTTAAACGGGGTTATAAATAGTCAAAGGCAAGACAACGTCTGCCGGGTTCAGCTAGTTGATTATAAAATGAGTGAGTGGTTATCACAATCAGTGGCAATGAGAGGTTATAAACGAAAATATAACCTCTCTTAGACATTATGAGTAGTGGTTTTTAGTAATTAAATACGGTTGTGGGTAAAGTAGTGTGTGACGCAACTTGCGTAATAAGCCTTTAAGACACTCGTAAAAGTTTTAAAGGCACTCGCCAAGGCTTATAGTTTCTACTTGTGTCTTAAAGACTATCTGCACGCGACTTTTGTGTAAAATACTATACGGTAAAAAATTTATTAAAAGCTTAATAAGGGCACGTGTGTATAAGTTTTGCTCGTCACCTACTGTAGTAATGAACTGTGTGATATTAGCCATTTATGGCCAAGTTTAGAGTGAAATGAGATGCTATTGTAGCTATTTTTTTATTTGAACTATTTATTAAAAGCCCACAAACATGGCCAACTGGGTCCAGTTTTCAACGATCAAACACTACTGACTTTTCTAAAAATCAACCCTATGATGAACACTATAACCACTCAGTATCAGCTATAGTGGTAACTGCGTGGTCTGTACCGGTACAAAAACATCCTGTCAGAGACAGCCAAGCTGCAGCTGGTACAGTCACTCACTGTTGTTGTCAGTGCTCCATTACTGTTTCCCTGAATACGGCAACAGCCTCCCAAGGGAAGTGATGTCCCGATTGCAAAAAGTGCAGAACTCCGCAATTCGTTTAGTTTATGGTATCCAAGCGTGAACACGTATGCCCTTTCCGGAATGCTGCGGGTTGCTGTCAATGGAGGCCGTATACAGGACGCAGACTTGTAGCATTGACTATACGTCAATGCTTGCAGCCTCATCCACCGGGTCTGGGTTCAGCAAGAGCCTAAGAACTTGGTGGAAAGGCTTGTGGCACGTGGGGAGGTGACTCAGCAAGTGACCCGGCGAAATGGCTTGGTCCACATTCCAAAAGTAAGCCTAGAAGTAGGTAGAAAAGGGTTTTCTTACTTTTGCCCAAATATGTGCAATGATCTCAACTTGAATGAACCAATCACAGAGTGTGTTACTGCATAAAAAAAAACAGGTTTTTGTTACTGAGACAGTATCTTTGACATAAAATAAGCTGTAGCGTATAACAAGTCCCCAACTTGACTTTGTTAAAATGTTGGCGAAATTCACAGAAATCCGTAGTTTATATCAGTGTTGAATATCAGTTTGAACTGTGACTATTCTACTACGTCCATTTAACTAAAACTGGTGACAACTTTAACATTGGGATACAATGTAAAGTTCTATTAGTGGTTTAAAGATACAACATAATTTCAACAAACAGTACTGGGCAGAATTGAGCGAGTTGGTATTGATAATAAAGTTCTAATTAATGTTAAATAAAACAAATACAAATGATAACTATCAAACTTGGTATTTCTAAATAAATAGATAAGAGTGTCTATGCATGTTATAAGTTGTGAAACTTACAGAACTAGTTTTTTACAAAAACACATTGAAAGTCATTGAAACTAATGAAAACTCAGATAAACGTTAGTAAGAAACAGCACCATAAGCTTTATTACTTACTATTTAATGTACAAAATCAATATAATTGTTTAAACTTATGTACTGCATGTACAGGGTGATTCACAAGTGTATTTACTTTGGATGGTTCTACATGGGCTTTAAACATTTAGTTTTACTTTAGTAGCAATATTTTACGTTATGATCAAAATATTGGAATTGAATAATAAATTCTAGAGAATTTTGAATTTGAATGTTTATGGAAGGTGATGCTACAAAGTTATCATACATAAATAATTGTTTATTCACCTTTGAACTATGCAGCTTAACTAAATGATTATAAATATTAAAAATAACAGATTTTTTAAAAATTATTAGTATTTCTAACACTTTAGTTTGAATAAAATATCCTGCCATATAAATAAAGTTAAATCATGTTTTGCAATATAAGTGAAGTATCACTTAAAATAAATTTACAAAATTACCCTAAACAACATACATCCAATATAATCATCAGGGCAACTATTAGACCAACACACAATTCAACAGATCAACACACATAAAATCTTTCTCAAGACCAACCAAACCTTGTAAAATTAAACATATTGGAGAGACTCACATGGAAACAATATCCAGCACACATTTTACAACAATAGTGAGAAGTGAACTTACAAATATGAAGTCTAACAAATCCATGCAGCTCGTGCTATCTGACATGGTCTGATCTGTGATTATACTGATAAGAAAACCCAAGAATGTAATACCAACATAAACAAAATACACAACACCAACGTAAACTACATTCACATCCAGTACAGCTTGCACCTCCACCTCCACACCATTACAGCACTAGTTATCTCCTGTATTGACACTATCAGAGATATCAAATGTCACATGTACCTCGATTTATGCATCAAAACAATAAGCCAACTAAGTACATTTTTAAAACAATTATTTGCCAATTATCTTTTAAATCAAAATATTTGTGAAATGATTAAATAAGGTTGATAGGGAACTGAGTGGAAATGGTTCTAGAAACATGTAAAAATGATTCTACAACCCTATCGAACATTTAATTACTTTACCCATGCATAATTCACTACTAATTTGCTATACAATCTTAATGGACCCACGGAGGAGCAGTGCTTATTTAACAATTGATTTTCATATCTTTGATGAAATTAGAATATCTTGTTGGTGATAACACTACCATAAACCTACTACAAACTGCTACAACAATTTAATTCTCAAAATGATTATTTATACTTATGCGCAAACAAGAATATTAATAGTTTGTAAAAGGGCTTACATGGGAATGTCAATTATACACACTTTTAGTTAACTAGCTCTTGCACAGTTCTAAACACAATCATCTTGGTAACACAATCATTTATTTCTAAATATTGATCAGATTATTCAGCAATAAATAATGACTACTCTCTAGACCCATCACTGAAATTTAAAAACTATGTTCAAACAGCTAGACTGCTGATTAAACATAGCTAGTTCACTGTTTTTGTTTTAAAATAGCACTTTAAACTTAGTTCCAAACAACTAAGCAATTTCACAAACAGCTTTTTGTAAAATTGATTAATCCAATTAATTGTTGTCTTCTATTCCTAGTTTAAAAATACACATTTTTATGCCAATAAATATTGCAAACAGTTTTTAACTTTGTAAATCCTGGGGAATGATATAACTTTATAAACCTTTTTTTTAGAAAGGGCCTTAGGGTATAAAAAAACAGTGGAACAGGACAAAAAGCGGGTAGCCTAATTGGTCGCTTAATGCGATAAAGAATTGAAGTCATTAGGCGCATATTATGCCCAGACGTGCATGGCAGGTAGCAGTAATCTTTTTTTAAAGCTAAAATTGTTTAAGCTTTTTTTAAAATTGTTAGAGTCTGTTTATTACTGTTACTTTTTGCATTGTTTATTAATAATTGTTAAAATTGGACT